TGGAAGCGGCGCTCCCGCCACAGCTCGGCGAAGCGCTCGAAGCGGACGGTGTCGGCCTGCTGGAAGGCGCCGAGCAGCTCCTCGCAGTCCTCCTTCAGCCCCGGCACGGCGCTCATCATCCCGCGGGCTCTCCGCTACCCCCGCCGGCTCCGCGCTCAGCCCGCGGCCGCTCCGCACATGCGCTCCGGCACSACAACAGCTCCGCAGCGCCTGCGCYGCTYCCCCGCKCATGCGCACGGCCCGTGCCGGGAGGAGCTGCTCGTGCTGCCCGTGAGGGAGCGGAGCTGCCCCGCTCTGTGGGGCTCCCGCCGCGGTCTGGCCCCGGTGCCCATGTGTGTGGCGAAGCCCCGTCGGTGACAGGCGCTCGCTGTGCCCACCCCGGGCGCTGTCCCGCTCGCCCCCGACGTGGAGGGCGAGCCCGGTSCAGGGGCAAAAAGCCTCTCCGAGCAGCGCATCCTGGGTGGTCCCGGGGCGCAGCCCGCGGGGATGAGCGGGTTCGGGAGGAGTGAGCAGTGGCGGGTCCGCTGGGCCAAGCGCCGCTGTACCACAGCCCCAGAGAGCCCAGGGATGCTCTTAAAGCGCGGGGGTTCATATTCCCCTTCCCATCCCTACAGGAGCCCCCGGCAGCGAGCTCGGGGCCCGTGACCCGACGGATGSAGCGGGTTCCCCGCGGGAAGGGCGCCCGGCGGAGCACCCGAGCCGCGCGGCCRTGGGGACGTGCCGCGCCGCCACGCTCCGGTGCGGGGCCACTGCCGGCCCCCTGCGCCGCTCCCCGCTGCCCCCACGGCTGTCCCCAAACCCCGACGGCTGCGGGGTGCCCCGTTTCCGCCTGGGCGAGCRCGGCGGGCAGGGATGAGCCGGCGGCCGCCCCCCCCCGAGCGGCGGGATGCCGTGCCCTGCCCTTCCCTGCCCTGCCGTTCATGTCGTGCCGTGCCGCCCGCTCCCCGCATGCACGGCCACACGTAGGCGGCCGGGGCAGCGGGGCGGGCGGGGAGGGGGCCGCGGCTGCCGAGCCGCACGTAGGGTGGGTGGGTGCGGCCTCGCCGGCGGCGCGGAGCGGGCGGAGGGGGCTCCCCTGCCCGCGCTCCCCCGCGCACGTACAGAGAGGGGCGAGCGGCCACCGAGGCGGCTGCCGGGACCAGAGCCGGCGTCGGAGAGCCCCGCGCCACGGTGAGTACGGACCCGCGGCACCGGGCACCGCTTGGGGCGGGGGCGGGAGCGTCCCGGGGATGCCGGTCGTGGTGCCCGGCAGGTTCCGCAGCCTCTCGGGCAGGTCCCCAGAGGGTTTAGGAACGGAGCTCAGGTTTCAAGGCGGCGTTGCGGTGATCGGGGCTTGGCTGCGGATTGTGGGAGCGCGGCTGGACAGCGGCACCTGCGCCGGGAGCGGTCCCGGGATGGGCAGGAGAGMGCCCGAGTGCCTGTGCACCCACGGGATGCGAGCTCGGCAGATGCGAGATCCCTCCTGAGCAAGGGGGAGCCTTAACGGGTTAGAAACAGCGGATAGGGAAAGTATGGAATGCGCGTGGGATGGAGCCTTGCGTGGTGCCTTTGGGATATTTAAACCTGCAGGAGTTTTCCCASCGACCGTGTTAAAAATTCACATTTTGCTTTCTCAAACAATCATACCCTGGGAAATGAATGTTGAATTCTGCTGGCTATGGTACTACGATGTTCTCCAGCTCACCATTAGCATCAACAAATAGACCCAAAGGTCGCTCCTTACGGCGAGTGGCATCAAGCTGCCAGCCCCTGCAATGACAGGAGCTCCCACAGTGCTCCAGGCACGCAAGCATCTTTCCACATTTATTGTATTTCCCAAAGCGTTGCTAGAATTTAACCTTTAGCAGCCTTTATTAGAAGGCGAATGACCATCGGCTGAACAGCTGTTGCCTGTGAGCACCACTGGYTGCCCATGTCATTGACTATAGGAACAGAAATATTTTCAGAGCTGTTGCATATGAGCTGGACAGGGTTTAGCAGCTGTGGGAAGAGAGCTGCACCTGCTGGGTTTGGTTTGCGTTTTTTTTTCCTTTTTCTTTCCTTTTCATCTATCATTGGGATTCATGTTTAGAGATGTAGGGTAGTGACCCCATTCATCCAGTTATGTGTCCCTGACTTCAACAGATTGTACTGATTTTGTAACAGAATGCCAATGTTGTTAGGAAAACAGACATAATGTGCTCCTCCATCAATGGATTTAAGGATTCAAAGCACTAGTAAATCAAAAATGACACATTATGGAGCGAGTTCATCATGAAGTAGAGCTCAAGCCAAGCCCTAGGTAGTTACAGGAGTTATCCCTTRATTTAATAGGAGCAGAGCAGCCTGGCTCTGGAGTGATGCTAGTGTGTAAAGCTGAACTGTGTTTTCTGATTTTTGTATCTTAAGCATGCATTGAGTGGGGTGATTTCTCAGAGATGGTGTTTCAAGGAACACTCTATGGAATTAACTTTTTTTCCTGAGGCAGATGGAGCTGCATGATGCAAGATGTAGTGAGGATGAGGCTGTTGTGTACACGTTAATGTGCGCTAAGTCTTCCCTTGCAGGAAGTTTGGGTACAATGCAAACAATGAAAATGCAGAAGAATAAAACCAAGTAACAGGGTGTCTTTGTACAATTTGCCACATGCGGTGTATAAAATTATATACAGTATCAATTTTTAGACTAATTAATACTCTACTCTTCTTCATAAACTGTGTTTTCAAGTGCTCCTTCAGATTTTTCATTAGTACATTTTCATTCTTAATTGATGCCTTCCAAATTAAARAAAAAATAATAAAAARTAGTTAGCTGATGTAAGGAAGRGTATGCTGGTTACTGTATCTTCTTCATATTCAAATGMTAAACAAAATGATGAAATCCTATTTGCCCTATTAGTTTCTATTTTATACATTGCAAGATAAAAGCCATTWATCCTGCATTGATATAAATAATGGRAATTCCAAATGCATATGGCACCAAACAACTCTACTTTTTAGTACCTCATATGATTGTATTAGAACACATTTTCAAGTTGAAAACATGAAAATAAACGATGTTTTAATCGATTTGCATGAAAATAAATCATGGATATGCTTTTTTWAAATAGCRTATTCCACTTTTGGTRCATACAAACCTATTGCTAGTAACAKGATCATACTCTACTGGCACTGCAAGCCTCCTGCTTTCAGACTTCCCAACAAACACAAACATTGCAAATGCTTTTTAATCTGTGCAGTAGGAAGTGGCATTGATTTAACAGGACAGCAGGAGTCACAGGTTCTTGCCGAGTCATTTGYGTGTACCGACAGCAACTGAAATCACCTGGAGACAGGATCATGGATACAAACGAGTTTGTGTTTGGTTACTAAGGRCATTTTTGGTGTGATTAATCAAAGAGGCTTCATAAATTTTCTCTGTCCCTCTGCCTCTGTAGCTGTTGTTCTCTGTTTGGCTTCCCCCAGGAAAACCTACACCATCCCCATATCTGCCTTGTTATATTGTATGTTTGACCTCTTTTGTTCATGCATGTTCTGCTTAATTCAGGTGGGATAACCACGTGCCATAGGTGAATAGGATTCAGCTTATGTAGAAATGTATATTTATATTTAATATATGTAAATGTTTTCAAGACTGTAACCACATGTCTGCTTGGTGACCAAATTGCTGACAGCAGGCAGTGAGGTCTCAAACCTGCAAGGAGTTGTTACTCTGCACAGTGGTTTAGTTCACTTTAAAGCAAGCTGCCACCTCCACCTTTGACAACAGGGAAAAGGGATGAACAGAAACATCACAGACGTGACAAATTAGAAACAAACCCTCTCTTTTATTGAATTTTATACTGTTACACAATCAAAAAGAAATACAGTCACAAGTACGTCAAAATGTTTCAAGAGAAATATCAATTGCAATACGTTGTACTTGGTTCCAAAAAAGAATTCCATTAAAATATACCACTTCTTCATGAGAGAATACTGCTATTATTCACAAAATCTACTGTACTGTATAAATCCAGTAGCAAACTCTTTTAACTTTTTGGTAACTTGCTCAAGGTAAACAGGAAGCAGAAGGAAAATGACAATTCATTTCTAGAATTTGGATGAAAAATCACAGTCCTCCAGTATGGAGCTTTTCAGGAAGTTGTAATGGTAATTTTAATGAAAGCTGGATACCCAACCAGTGTGGAATGCCTGTGAAAATGGTCTTGCTACAAAGTACTCCTGGCCTGTGAGGTGTCTACTTTCATGCTGGACCATTACAGTTTGAATAATGTGCCTAAGTGCAGTGACATTTGAGTGAGGTGCGTGCTCTGTTCAGGAGCAGGGCAGCAGCAGGAATGGGAACAGATGGCTGACSTGGGGCATGTCCAGCCAGGCTGACAGTGGCAGGATGCTCCCACATCCCACTGCACTGTCAGGAAAGGCTCACTCAGCAGTGTAACAGGGGAGAAYACTTGCCAGCAAATACTGCCTTTAGCTGCCAGTGCTTAGCTGTTTAATTAAACARTTCTTTAAGTAATGAAAAATTACTATTAAATAYRCAATAGTTTAACCTGTAATCRTCAGAATTATGTGACTCTACAGGCRTGTTTCATTGGAAGCAGAGCTGATMATTTCATCCAAACTWAGCTTTGAAGKCTTAAAACTCACCAGTGTTAYGTGTAAATGGTTCTTTAAGGCCCTAATCTGTGGTGCTTTAATTCAGATATTACTTTGGGAGAGTTTAATGTGTGTACACAGATACTATTAAGTTTYTTTYCTCAGGTAATTTGTTTCCATTTCACTCAAAGGTTTTCAAAGATCACTAGAGTCCAAGMCAGTCTCACTAGGTGGGAGGAAGGTACATGAGCAAGAGGTACTTTGGACTCCAGGCAAATTTAATTTACTCAGTGTTTTACACCCAAGATAAGTTAGTGCACTGTATATTTAGGTGATTTCTGGGGACTTACATCTGTAGTTAATTGTAACTACTTTCAGGTAAAGGAAGGAACTATGACATCATAAATACTAGTTTAAAAAAGCTTTCATCCTTTAACAAAATTATGTTGATAATTAAAACATCAATTAAAATCTGTATGTAAAAACAGTAATTGTACTGTGGCCTGAAGAAGGCCTGGTTTGACTACTGCTGTAGTCAGGAAAACCTGGAAGATAACT